ATGGTGTCTCTCCTGCAGGTGCGGGCGTGGCGGACGGGGGCGGTGTGGGCGTGGGACCTGGAGATCCACGAGGCCGCCCTGGAGGACGCCGGAGTGTATGAGTGTCAGGTCAACACCCGCCCCAAGATCTCCCATCCAGTCACTCTCCACGTCCACCGTCAGTACCCGACGTTATCTAACGTTCTCTATACCGCTTCTTTCATCCACCGTCAGTACCAGACGTTACCTCCCGTTCTCTATACCGCTTCTTTCATCCACCGTCAGTACCCGACGTTATCTAACGTTCTCTATACCGCTTCTTTCATCCACCGTCAGTACCCGACGTTATCTAACGTTCTCTATACCGCTTCTTTCATCCACCGTCAGTACCCGACGTTACCTCCCGTTCTCTATACCGCTTCTTTCATCCACCGTCAGTACCAGACGTTACCTCCCGTTCTCTATACCGCTTCTTTCATCCACCGTCAGTACCAGACGTTACCTCCCGTTCTCTATACCGCTTCTTTCATCCACCGTCAGTACCAGACGTTATCTCCCGTTCTCTATACCGCTTCTTTCATCCACCGTCAGTACCCGACGTTACCTCCCGTTTTCTATACCGCTTCTTTCATCCACCGTCAGTACCAGACGTTACCTCCCGTTTTCTATACTGTATCTCACACCTGCTAACGATCTCCTCTTCACAGTTTGTGAATGTTGTTTATGCCTGAAGGAAAACACAATGTGATGGAGTGATGTCTCATTATCGTCTTATATATATAGAGAGAGAGATAAGGACTTGTTAGGGATAATTTTAAAAAATATCCATAACAGTTGTGGGAAGTGGATCATACCACAGTGGGGGGCGTGGACGGACAGGGAGTGGCATGATTACGACATACAAGATTCTAAGAGAATGTTGACAAAGTAGGCAGAGCGTTTCAGGCAGGTCCTTAATCTTATGTTCCGTGGAATACGACCCGCCAAATCGTTTAACAAACAGGTACCCATTTTACTGTTGGGTAAACAGAGGCTACAGTTATGGATTGGCACCCGGTCAATCCTCCCGCCGGCCAGGATACGAACCCAGGTCAAAGCGCTTGCTAAACGCCAGGCGAGTGTCTTACCACTACGCCATGGGAACTGTTGGATTAATCTAAGAACGTGTGAAAGGCGGGGTCAGGAGCTTAGGTCGACCGTGCAAAGCACATCTAGGTAAGTACACAAGAAGATTCAGCGGTATGCCACCAGGCTCGTCCCGGAACTGAGAGGATTGAGCTACGAGGAAAGGCTAAAGGAGCTGAACCTCACATCCCTGGAAAACAGAAGAGTAAGGGGAGACATGATAACCACCTACAAAATTCTCAGGGGAATTGACAGGGTGGACAAAGACAAACTCTTCAGCACGGGTGGGACACGGACAAGGGGACACAGGTGGAAACTTAGTACCCAGATGAGCCACAGAGACGTTAGAAAGAATTTTTTCAGTGTCAGAGTAGTTAATAAATGGAATGCACTAGGAAGTGATGTGGTGGAGGCTGACTCCATACACAGTTTCATATGTAGATATGATAGAGCCCAATAGGCTCAGGAACCTGTACACCAGTTGATTGACGGTTGAGAGGCGGGATCAAAGAGCCAAAGCTCAACCCCCGCAAACACAATTAGGTGAGTACAATTAGGTGAGTACAAGCTAAGTAAACAAAAAATGGAACTAATCACTCGCCCTAATCGCTATGGATGGGACGGAACTAATCACTCGCCCTAATCATAATGGATGGGACGGAACTAATCACTCGCCCTAATCGCTATGGAAGGGACGGAACTAATCACTCGCCCTAATCGCTATGGAAGAGACGGAATTAATCACTCGCCCTAATCGTTGTGGAAGGGACGGAACTAATCACTCGCCCTAATCATCATGGAAGGGATGGAACTAATCACTCGCCCTAATCGTTTTGGAAGGAATGAAACTAATCACTCGCCCAATCTTTATGGAAGGGATGGAACTAATCACTCGCCCTAATCATAATGGATGGGACGGAACTAATCACTCGCCCTAATCGCTATGGAAGGGACGGAACTAATCACACGCCCTAATCGTTATGGAATGGATGGAACTAATCACTCGGCCTAATCATTATGGAAGGGATAGAACTAATCACTTGCCCTAATTGTCTTGTAAAGGACGGAACTAATCACTCGGCCTAATCGTTATGGAAGGGACGGAACTAATCACTCGCTCTAATCGTTATGGATGGGATGGAACTAATCATTCACCCTAATCGTTATGTTCAATATTTGCAATAGTAACCGGGAGGATTATCACGGTACAGGAATCGGAAGTGACCAATCCGTTCCCCGCGCTGTATCCGTACACTCTACAGGCAGCTATGTGCACTCCAGATTGTTGATTGTACATTCTACAGGCAGCTATGAACACTCTAGATTGTTGATTGTACACTCTACAGGCAGCTATGTACACTCTTGATTGTTGATTGTACACTCTACAGGCAGCTACGTACACTCTTGATTGTTGATTGTACATTCTACAGGCAGCTATGAACACTCTAGATTGTTGATTGTACTCTACAGGCAGCTATGTACACTCTTGATTGTTGATTGTACACTCTACAGGCAGCTATGTACACTCTTGATTGTTGATTGTACACTCTACAGGCAGCTATGTACACTCTAGATTGTTGATTGTACATTCTACAGACAGCAATGTACACTCTAGATTGTTGATTGTACACTCTACAGGCAGCTATGTACACTCTTGATTGTTGATTGTACACTCTACAGGCAGCTATGTACACTCTTGATTGTTGATTGTACACTCTACAGGCAGCTATGTACACTCTAGATTGTTGATTGTACATTCTACAGACAGCAATGTACACTCTAGATTGTTGATTGTACACTCTACAGGCAGCTATGTACACTCTTGATTGTTGATTGTACACTCTACAGGCAGCTATATACACTCTTGATTGTTGATTGTACATTCTACAGGCAGCTATGTACACTCTAGATTGTTGATTGTACACTCTACAGGCAGCTATGTACACTCTAGATTGTTGATTGTACATTCTGCAGGCAGCTATGTACACTCTAGATTGTTGATTGTACAATCTACAGGCAGCTATGTACACTCTAGATTGTTGATTGTACACTCTACAGGCAGCTATGTACACTCTGTATTAATGCACTCTATGTATTAATGTACTTATAATATATGCAGATATTATGTTAATTTACAGGAGTTATTGAACGACGTGTTCTCACGACAGTGGGACATTCTCACGACAGTGGGACATTCTCACGACGTGTTCTCACGACAGTGGGACATTCTCACGACAGTGGGACATTCTCACGACGTGTTCTCACGACAGTGGGACATTCTCACGACAGTGGGACATTCTCACGACGAGTTCTCACGACAGTGGGACATTCTCACGACAGTGGGACATTCTCACGACAGTGGGACATTCTCACGACGTGTTCTCACGACAGTGGGACATTCTCACGACAGTGGGACATTCTCACGACAGTGGGACATTCTCACGACAGTGGGACATTCTCGCGACAGTGGGACATTCACACGACAGTGGGACATTCTCACGACGTGTTCACTCGACAGTGGGACATTCTCACGACGTGTTCACACGACAGTGGGACATTCTCACGACGTGTTCACACGACAGTGGGACATTCTCACGACGTGTTCACACGACAGTGGGACATTCTCACGAAGTGTTCACACGACAGTGGGACATTCTCACGACGTGTTCACACGACAGTGGGACATTCTCACGACGTGTTCACACGACAGTGGGACATTCTCACGACGTGTTCACACGACAGTGGGACATTCTCACGACAGTTGTGCGAACATGAAAAGTCATAATCAGGTCCACGGGATTTAGTCATGCACACAACACAAGTTTACGGATACACATATTATGACCGGTGGGTAAGTGTGCTGGCCCGTGACCTGAGTCCGTCTGTCTGTCTGTCTGATTAGACGGATAGTCTTCCCTCAAGGATCAGATAGTATCCACTGCAGGGATCAGTTGCTAAGTGATCCTTGGAGTGGATATTAGCAACTAGGCAGTATTCACTCCCTAGTGGATAGTGGATTTAGCAGTAAATAGGTACCTGGGAGTTAGTCAGCTGTCACGGGCTGCTTCCTGGGGGTGGAGGCCTGGTAGAGGACAGGGCCGCGGGGACACTAAAAAAAAAAACCGAAATCATCTCAAGATAACCTCAAGATAGTATCCACTAAGGATTGGACAGTATCCAATCCTTAGTGGCCACTCGTAATTCATCAGCGCCAGAGATGAACTTGAGTTTCCAGCGGATCTCTGCACTCCAATCACAGTAAATCCTGTTTAAGAACACTACAGTTCCCTCGCTCCATCTCCACCGCCTCGAGGCCAAGTCTTCCGGACAAGAACTGAGTCAACAAGACTTCCCTAAGTGAACGATATTGCCTGTGGTCGAAGGTGTCCCCCTGTCACGGCCAGAGACCGGGGGGGGACACCTGTCACCTGTTCGTATTTCAACATTACGAACAGTACAGACGGCTGACTATGTATACTCCGTCGACTGCACGCCCGGGAAGGGTACACCGCTTGAGGGGATACTAATTGCCTTCACTCGGTACAGTGTTAAATACAGGGACATGGTGAGATTAGTACACTGTGTGGTACTGTGGGAGGGTGTGTGGTACTGTGGGAGGGTGTGTGGTACTGTGGGAGGGTGTGTGGTACTGTGGGAGGGTGTGTGGTACTGTGGGAGGGTGTGTGGTACTGTGGGAGGGTGTGTGGTACTGTGGGAGGGTGTGTGGGGGGACGCGTTGTTTAGATGGGGGAGGGGATGAGCAGGGGGGGATGAGCAGGGGGGGATGAGCAAGGGGGGGGGGATGAGCAGGGGGGGGATGAGCAGGGGGGGGGGTGAGCAGGGGGGGGGGGGGGGATGAGCAGGGGGGCCATAAAAATGAGTAGAGAGTGTTGTAGGAGACCGGGTCTTGGTATTCATGATATCTTTATGTGTGGGAGAGGGAATTTGAGGGGCGGGGAAGGGGGGTTGCAGGGGAGAAGGAAGGGGGAGGGGGCGGGGAAGGGGGGGTTGGAGGGGGGCGGGGAAGGGGGGGTTGGGGGGGGGAATGGGGGG